ATATATACTACATGCTTTAAAAGGAAATTTATTGTAAAATATGAAGTGCATAATAACTCAAAGTCAACAACTGCATCTCAAATCAGTAGTGGACAACACAATCCATTACACGTTTTGTTTAGTTTTTTTTAGTAATACTTGCAAGCTGTACTCTTGTGACTTGATTTTGCCTGTTTCTGGGGAAGATTTATTAAGAAAACAATTACTAAGATAAATGTGTGAACTGAGGAGGGGAAGTTGTGCATGTGAAAAAAAAGTCCTGGTGGCTAGCTCCTACCTACTTCTCAAAGTTCTCATAAATTTAATCCCTAGTGGGCTATTTTCAATTTCAAATTTCATGTGTTACTCTAGTCTCTCCATACATCTCATTTTAAGTATTGCTTTTTTTTCTCCTTTAAAGTAGCCACTACCTCCCAACAAACAAGGGAACAGGAAAAGTATGAAGAGGAAAGAAAACAGTGCCCCAATGAAAGGGGATACTGTTCTAGTATTGACTGTGGAGGATGGTGGCCCTGTATGTGACAGGGGGGTTGCAGATACATGATCCTTGAGGTCCCTTCCAACCCTGGCTATTCTGTGACTCTGTGAAAGAATGGAGGTCTGAAAGTGTGCGTTTTAGAAAACTAGTGTAAGACTTATGTTCAGCCAAAGGAAATTTTTGAGGATAGGTGGCAATTCCAACATCCAGAAGAGTCATTGTTTGTTTTCTGCCTCCTTTTGGTTTCATTCCTTTAGAGTAACAAGTTATAAAATCAAACAAAATCACTCGTTATGTTAATTATTGAACAAAAAAAACCCCAACCTATTAAATTAAAAAGTTAGAAACTAAAATCAAGTATTGCCAAAACCATATCACTCTATACATAACAAACTGCACATGAGTTAACACCTAGATCTAGAATTAACACATGTACCAATGAGAGGGGAAGAGAAATAGTACTGGAACATGTCATTCAGTAATGAACTCTGTTTGACCGTATATAAGTTTTGTGATGGCACTTTACTTTTTTACCCTATGCCTGCAAAAATTTTATTTATTTCAAAAACAGACACTGCAAGAATAATAAAGCATTAGAACAGATATCCTAGGAGTCTGTTGCATCTCAAGATTCGAGTGGACAAAATCTTAGGGTGATTTCATCTGAACTCAGTGCTGAGCCTGTGTTGTGCACAAAGCTGGACTAGTTCTCCAGAGATCACTTCCCACCAGAATGACTGCTACCACCCGACTAGTTAAAAGTTAAGGTTTTTTCCTCCTCATTCCTTCTGAATGAGATTTGGGTAATAATAAAATAGCAAAGCAAAAACCTCTTCTATAAAAGTTACAGAATATGGTCTGAGCATGGGATTAAGATGCACAGCATGTTTATCTGCCAGGAGGTGACAAACATGCAAAGTGCAATTTATAAAGAGTTATCACAAAGACAAGTTTTCTTCAGAAAACAACAGATTTTCCTACCAGGGTTTCTGACAGTGCCTTGCTAGGAAAGATTACAGTGCAACAGACAGGAAATTTTGCTGTATGAACAAGAGGTTTGTTAGGGACAATACTCAAAACCATAAATGGCAAAACTTCATCAACTTTATTTCACAAAATTTTGTCAGCAATTATTAATTGACAGAAACCAGTGAATTACCTCTCAGGAAAGCACACCATTATAAACGGTGACTTCTTCTAAATAAAGATTTCTAACAGTGCTAAATAAGTAAACTAAACAAATCTTAAGGCTTTAACGAATTTTAAAAAGAAAACATCACCCTTTTTCTTAGCATAAATGAGTATTATTATATAGTTAATACTTGTGGAGTAAAAACTATAACTACATGACATTTACTGTAATGTAGTATTTTCCTCAAGAAGTAAGGAACAGCTGCTAACCTAAGGTGCAAAAAAAAAAAAATTTTTTTTAACCTTTGGCAAAGGTATATAATTCTCTGTACAGAGATTTAAAAATGTATGTTGGAAAGAAATATAAAATGTCAATATTTAACTTTATTCGAGAACTTTAATTATATTACTTCTGTGGAATATTGCAAATATGTATCACAACTCCCATTTCACAGACTGAAAAACTGGAGGGGTGATTAAACAAAAAGTTTGGTAATAAGTACAAGATCAAGCAACAGCTAGCCAGATTGTCCACTGTCCATATTTTACCATGTTTGACTTCATTCACAGAATGGAAAAAAAAAATGCCAACACAAAGCTGCTTCTCTCTGGTTTCTGGCAACAGTGACCTCAGTTAAAATTCACTGATCTGCTGTGAGTTTGTTTTACAGTCAGCTGGAACATTATCAGCCTCAATATATGTAAAGATCAGTATTTAGAATCCTGTATTTCGCGTGTCCTACTATATTTGTGTAAAAATATCCCATTCCTAAAATGGCCACAGTGGTCCATAAGTGGTCCTAAAATGGCATTTAACCCATGAGCCTACTTGAGAATTTTTTTTTAACGTGAATTTCACATTTTGTTCAAGGCCGTTAAGACGACATAATGCATCTTTTTTGAAACTGGTGAAAATTTTACATCTTCTTGTCTTTGAACTGCAGTCACCAATGCCAGTCCCAGCAGATCTCTGGAATCAGAACATGCATGGCCAGATAAGGACAGCTAACAAGTTAATAAGTTGTACTTTTCCACCAGTGACAGGGCAAACCACCTTTTAATTCTTTGGATAGACAAGATGGACCTGAAGCTTCTCACCAGAATTCATTTCATCTTCCCGATGCGTGAAAATTACCTCTGCCCCATTTCCTTCCTCCCCAGCACCAGCTGCCTCGCTGGCTGCAGGCCGCAGCCATTTATCTGGGCGCGGACTGCTCTCCGGCAGGTTTAAAATCAGCTACTGTGTTATTTTGGACTTTGTTTTTAAATACTTCTAATCTCAGTCAAAACACACCATATTAAAATCTTCTATGCCACATGTTCACAGTAATTTTTGCCAGATAGTTATGTTGGTAAAAGGTATAATGAATAATGATCTTGGACTCACATAGCTACACACATCCGCAAAAACCCCCCACTGTAGTGGCTACTACAGCAAGAAAACTACCTCTGCCAGCATTTCTTGTTCTGCTGGCAGTGGGGAAACACAGGCCCTGAGAAAGGCACAGCTCAAATTGCCCAGCATACCAAGATGCACCAGACAGCATACTAAGGCAGCCACACACATGAAGCAGTCAAACCTGACCTACAAAACCTCACCAACTCTAATAAGTCCGTTCTTCTTACAGTTCATCTAAAACAAAACACATTCTAATCTAAGTAAGTGAACTTCTCAAACAAAGACATAAAAATCATACAGACTCAATAACCCAGTCTCACACCCCAAAACCTAGAGATTAATTAGAAGTAGTAGACACAATTTGGGGGGTTCAAATTCAAAGATTTAGGGATGCACTGCCAGAAACATGACAGATGTAATTTATTTTTTTTTCCTTAAGATACAAAACCTGAGAATGTAATTTAATGACTGTAGCAGCTACACTTGCATGGAAAACAAACATTGCAAGACTTCCAGTGATCTTAAGTACCGGCAGCATTGCCATGCAAAAAGCTGTAACTGAGAAACATCTAGATGGACAAAAATTCAAAATAAAAATGCCAAAGCTTTTTTCATGAAGAGAACAAAGACCTTCATTTAAGGTGGCATCTGTGTCAAACAACACTAGCAAAAAAAAAAAAAAAAAAAAAAAAAAAAAAAGCAGCTCATAGTGAGCAAATGTGGTACAGCATAGCAGCATAGCATGACTTACTGGGAGGCTTTTCTCCTCAATGGATTTAACAGCTAGTTAGCTCTACATTATTAGTACACACCCCCAAATTATAGTTTGACAAAATAAAAATAATGTTTCAATATTTATATTGGTAAGAGAAAATTAAAGCAAGCTAAGCAAACCTACAGAAGAAGTTCTAGAAAAAAGTCAGCACAAATTAAATAGCATAATGCAACAATTGTCTCCCCCAAAACTATCAAAATACATCAATTACACAATTTAGAAGGAAGCAGAATTGATTCAGATGTCTAATATCTTCCAAACAACCACAAGCTATTCATTTTTCAAATGCCTCTGTTTTACATAAGCAACTACAAGATGAAAATCAGAATTTGAATAAAACAAACCAAGAAAACAATTTAGGTGCAGCACAATTGTAGCTTCAGAATATTTTGTTATGAAATTAAAAGAAAGCTTAGCAGAATCATTCAATAGTTTCTCCATAGTCTGTCTCACAGGAAATATGGTACTACAGCTTTACAGAAAATGAACACTTTTAAAATATTTATAAAATTACATTAATACAATCCATAGATATATATCATGATGTATTTCAATAATTATTCCACAATACAATGGGAGTGCATGCTCAAACAAAACACCTCAGCAGTATTTTAAAGCAGTAAACCACCTAGCCAATTTCTGTGCGTTCTGTAGTTTTTCTAATCCACTCTCCCTGTGGTTGAGCAAAATCGAATTGCCTCTCACATTTGCAGACAGCTCTGTGAAGGTGATAATAGAGCTGCTCCCTGCTGTCATGAGGCAGGAAATAGGAAAATGGCATATGGGGCTAGAAAGAAATAAAAAGAGAACTAAACAAGAACAAAAGAGATTTCAACAAAGGACAACTATAACCCAATATGCTTTGCAAGTTAATCTCTTTTCATAATCATTCAACATATTTAATCATTTATCGTCACGTTTTCTAGAAAACTTGAATGCTTGATACCAAGTCTTCTGTAAAGTTTTATTCCATAAAACATTTTGGAATAGAAATGCTACTAAGAGTCAACATATGTAACGCCTATAAATCAGTGCCTTATTAGTACCTACGTTAAGGGGCTAAATCTATTCCAATCTGTTAGTAATTCATCATAGATTTTGTGGCTAAAATAAAATCTCCAAAACAATGCACACTTGGATTATCAATTGTTCGTACCCACAGTGCCTTCATACTAATTCTTACTGAAGTACCTTTAAAAAAGAAAAGCCTACTATACCTTTCCTTTTACACTCTGAATGGGATCCACCACCACAGCAACCGCTCTTTCCGATAATGCTTCAAAGCTCTGCTGAGTATTGATATCTACGCCAGACAACCAACAGCCAAAGCCAGGGTGACTGTGATACCAACCAACAACCATCTCAGGTCTGAAAGGAAGAGGACATTGAAATTCTTGAAAAATAAAAACGTGTAACAGAAGAAGAAACAGTTACGTTTCAGGGCAAAAATTAGGGTGACTTGTGAAAAAATGCCATTAGAAATACTTAAATTACTCACCATAGTATGGTGAAAACATGGACACGAATAAATCCAACAAAAGAGTGTTATCATTAAGGGATGCACATTAGCAGAGGAAAATCATGCTTTCAGCTTTTCACCCTGTTACCACACCTTCCCTGAACCAGTTTTTACCCTTTCAGCACTTGAGTAAATATCTACTCTTTAACTCCTTGGCATCGAGGGTTGAATTTTCACTGCAGAAAGTCCATTTCAGACATGGACAACGGAAACCAACAGTGGGAAAGGATTAAATATCAATTAAACCAGCAGTAGAACTAGGAACTCAGTCAAAAAGCAATTTGCACTGTTCTGTTCAGCTGCTGAGCCTTTTGCTAACATTAATTTTGAAGTTTTTCCCACAGTAAAAGAATTTGAGCAAGCAGGCGACAACTGTTGAGAGGTAGGAGTGAAAAAAGATTCATTTAAATACTACGGTATTTTTACTCAATTATTTTTCTTTTCATTAAAATTGCACGAAAGTAGGCTAAAACAATGTGCTTTCTCTGTCCTAATTGAAAAAGAAAATCAATCTTTTACTAAATTGAGCAGCATTCTAATCTTTTTGTGCAATAATCAAAGATGTAAGTTTAATGTGAGTGACAACCTCCTGACAATGGAAAGGCACGAGGTGAATTACATGCTACGCTACTCAGCCATTTTCTGGGACAATTATTTCTTGTCAAAAATTACAAACAGCCCCGTGTTCACTAATTTTGCAGAAAGCCAACTGTTTCTTCTAAACAGTACGCAGAAAGTATTTATTATTCCCAGCTATTCTCAGGGTGACTTACCTTCCTGTCTGTTTCAGCATATCCAACATTTTTGCTTGAAACACAGGATCAACTGCCTCCACACTGACTCCCTAATGTAAAGGGAAACAACAATCACAGCAATTGCACATAAAGTCATACTTCAAATCTTTTAACTTGTTACTTTTCACAAACAAAAATTTAACACAATCTCACTAGCATATGTTAAAGAAGTGCAATGATTATTTTAGAATACCTTTAAACGTAAAAAACAGTTTTGTAATATAAATGTATTTCAATGGATTTTTTAAAATGCTAAAAAGATTCTGAATTGACTTTTATGTCTAATTTCTACTATGAGCAAACACGAGTGAATGGGCACAAGGATTCATTTTTTCCTCCTCTTTCTTTCAATTATGTAAACTTTGGCCTGTTTCTGAAATTCAGCTCTAGAGATTTTTTTCCAAGATAAGTAACAGCAGCTTTTTGATAATTCTACATAACTGACTACATAACTGGCTACATACTATTACTGCACACAAACAGGACAAAATAATTCAAATGCATCGTTTCGCAGCTTTGAGCTACAAAGAGATGTGTGCATATTTTAAGAGCAATATCTTAAGTTAGACCAGAAAAGCATCATAAGCTCCAGTTATGCTTTTTATACTCTTTAAAATATCTGTCCATTGCATTAATTTATTCAAAATTAAAATACATATTTTTTCATATCACAGTAATATCACTTAAGAGATGTGCCACTGTAAGGTCTATCACAGAGATTAAGTTTGAAGCATATCCACAGCACTGTCACAATTAAGGGTATGATAGACTTCTAATCAAATCTTTACATTCTTTAATTCCTCCCTCGGCTCCTACTATGAGTTTTTGAAGTTATCAATTTATATATCTTGTAAGTGATGTTACAACCACATATTTATACATACACAAAGTGATCTCCATATTGATATATTCACCCACATGTATATCAACAAGTCACTTTTTTTTTTTTTACTGAAGTCCATGAACACGAATGATCAAGCAGGATCCAAGTATAATAAACTGTCTAAAATGGTATCAATATGTGAATTACGCATGTTCACACTATACCTAATAGGTAGGTAGTGTTTGCTCAAATAAGAGTTGCATGAATTGGTAAGGAAGGGAAAGCTTTTACAAATTTACTATACAGGAGAAGAAAGAAAAAGGTCTAACTACAAAGAACTCACCGTTCCAGACTGTGGCATAGCAAAAACATCAATCACTCTCACAGTGTAATCATCAACAAATTCCCCAAGCATCAGCCCCATAACTTCCATAGGGACACCAGCACGACCATGTTTCAACATCTGGAATGAAGATGACATGACATTATTTAACTATGGAAGTTTAAGCAGTAGAAGGCTCAAGTTTGACCTGGGAGAGTTCTTGTAGCTTTTCTTGCTCTATTGATAATTTGAAACTGGTAGCACTTTTGGAAACTGTAAGGCACTATACAAAGTAGTACAAATTAAGCCATAAAAAAGAGAAACAGCAAGTTTCTTATTCTGAATGTTTCACTCAGTGTTAAATATATTGTAAAAATCAGTCTGAGCAGCATTAAGGAGCCCAAGGGCACAGAGCCTGGGGAGGTGCCAGGTGCTCAGCCTGCAGCACCACTTGGAGCTGGAGCACAAACACACTTACTTTCAGCAGCGCCAGGGATGAGATATACACCTGTTCCGCTGTGTCGACCGCAGGAGCATCTGTTGGTGGCCCCTATGAAAAGAATAAATCATCAAGTATTTTCTCCACTGTTGTTATGCTGCCATTTCTAAACCTTTTGTACTCTGTATTATGAAATTAAAGAAAAACCTGTAAGATCAAGAACTCGTGTGCAAGATGCAGATCTTACAAACAAGCAAACAAGGACAGCCAAGCCCCCAATACATCTTTACAGTGCCTTCTGACACTAAACTACTTTGTAATAAAAGTCACTGAGCCCCCATCCTGTCTTCCCCAGCCCCAGATCAACACCACCCCAAAGAGCAATCTTAACAGAGACCATCACATACAAAGCTGGCAAGCACTGCACCAGCACAAACCTGTTACAAGGACCCAGGCTAACAGTCAGATAAGTTTCCATTAGTCAGCCTTGCTGCAATGCTAACCTTCATCAGCTGTAAAATACGGCCAGTTCTCCAATTAACTATGTGTTTCTTACAGTGGTGTGAATGTAAATGCTGCTGGGCTAGCATGATTAACTGGCACCAACACAAACAGCAATTTCCCTTTGCTTCATCAGCTTTCTGCTAAAGAGGACTTGCAGATAAAGGCTAAGGGAGTACTTCACATATACACTGGTAGAGTGAGAGAAAAAATGGACCTCCGATCCCTAGGTGGAAAGCTGTGAACAAAATACTTTGCTCTTTGCCTCATGAGTAGTTATTCAAAAATTAGCACAACTGTCCCAGGTGTGAATGATTGGTTGAAACGGGTTCTCTATATTGCTGAAAATGAAAAACACAGGAGGCAGCAGTTTAACTGTCCCTTTCATGAAGAGCAAGAGACATATTGCTCTTACATACAGAATTCCGTATCACCTTACCTCATTACAGCCAATTAGCAGTACATTCATTACTTTGTTAACAAATTGCACGCATGCAGCAGATTTCCACTGAAAAGACAAAAGGTTACCTCTGCACCAAGTGACGCAGAACAAACTTGTGAAGGCTACAAAGCAACCACAGAGCAAGGGGAAAAAAAAAAGATGCTCACCATTACATTAAGAGAGGAAAATAAACGTTTTATAGATTTAGAACTTTGATTCTACACTTACAAGCAATAGAACAGTTACAGTGAAAAAATCTACAAGCAGTTCACCAGAACGTGCCATGGGACCAGAGCACCAGAACCACTTGTCCCTTAGCTATGACCAAACCACTTGGCTGGTGAAGCTCCAAATGCCTCACCATTTTCCAGAATTACATTTTTCCTCCAAATACATCATTTTACATTCTTAAGTGCATCTTTCTTGCTTCATCCTAGAAATTTTCTTCTTTTCCCTTAGCATATTGGAAATCACACAGACTGAGATTTCCATTTAACCACAGATAAGAAGAAAGCACAGATGAAAAAAACAAACAAACAAAAAAAAACCAACCACCAAACTTGAGTTTGATAACATTTCCCTCCTATGCATCCATGACTATATATAGAAAAATAAGAGAATAGCTTAATGCTATCTGTTTTAGACCAGAGAGAGTAAAAAGCGAGTGCAGAAGTACAAACGCAGTGACCTTGGCTGTCTTCTGAAGAACCGTAACACCAATGCTGAGACATCACCATGTACATATTCATTTGTCCCAGATTTATCTTAAAACTTCACTGCAAGCAAGCATCCATTTTAACACGCATTATTAACTAAAGAATTGGGATTTTTGGGAAACTAATGTTCGGGTTTGACAAAACTCAGGAACTTTAACTGAAGTTTATTCTGCAGGTTATGACATTAAAATTGGCTCTCATGCGTGGACTCTCCATTGCCTGTTAGAGAGGCAGATCACACTGACACCCTTCCAGCAGCTGAAGCATTAATCACAGCTTTGTCCCCTGCACAGACACCTGCATTCACAACTTGTAAGAATTTAATTATTCTTCCTAACTTTTCCCTCTTTATTTAAAATCAGTCAGTAGGCCAACACTGACAGCAAAGAGACAAAGACAAATATTATTACATTTTGTTTCTGTAATAAGACAGCTAAAATACTGTTAGCTTAAGCAAAGGTAGAAACTAAATCTGGGCATTAGCCTATTAAGCTCGTTCCTAATCTTTCTCTTTCATTATTTCTGTACTACTTGGAGCTTTCAAATTGTGGTGGTTTTTTTGTTCATTTTTGTGGTGGTAATATTCCAGAAGTATTAAATGTCAATATTGCTGTTGATCCCTTCAGCTTTTTGGAAGCTAAGTTTTAAAAACAGAAATCTCTGATAAGTTCTCTGTCCATACCCATAGCCAATGACTGATCTTCAGCACAGGAAGTATTGTTAATGCAAAAGGAAACACTCCACTGGTGTAAATCAACTTTGCCCCGCATCCTTTTTTCCCCACACATCCTTTTTTCCCCCTCATGTCTTTTATGGCATGTACTAAGAATGATTTTGTACACTATGTGTGAGATTAGTTGTATGTAAATAAAAGGACTACACTAAGGGTTAGCAGACAGCAACCATAAATTCACTGTTTCACTTTAAGCAAAGATCAGCTGCAGCTCTTCTCATACAATTTATGTAATTTACTTGAACTCTTAAAAATTAACTAATGGTAATATTCATTGCAAATATATTGTAGATTTATCAATAACCAATTTTCCTACATAATATAGCACGTATCAACTAAATATTTCCTTGGTCACAGCTGTTCATTTGGGAGATCTAACAATTTCCTTTTACTGTGTTTTCCCCATAGATTACAATTCCAATCTAAATATGAGAAAATGAGACAACTTGTTGTAGCGTACATATTATTATATGTATGAATCCTCAATCTATACCAAAAACAAAGACTAGAACATCAGCATAAAATAAATTGCCCAACATTTTGAATTAATTCCTAAGTACTGATCCAGGAATTTTGAGGAAGAATAGGGTTAAATCTTGTCCACAATTACCTTTGTAACAGTTTAATTCCCTTTTATTTTATACCATAGGCAAAATGGAATACAAAACAGTACTGGAAGACAATCGTCCATCAACAGAAAAATATAAAACCCAACTTTCATTAAAGATTCTTATCACAAAGCTTTTAAAGATTTGACAAACAAAATCATCTGAATAAATCTTGAAAGATCCAAGTAGTTTACTGGGCTTTAAATAATGTCAATTGAAAGAAACAGGCATTTGGAAACAGGAACCATCTGACTTTCAGCTCTGACCATTTCCTTTTCTGAAAGAGATGACACTCTAAAGGACAGTGCCAGGGTGGCAGTCACAGCTGGGCACCACTTACTCAGCATGTGGCAGCCACATAGCCACTACATGTTTAGAGACTTCTTCAGCTGGCTCTACTCATCTTCCACAGAATTTTACACACTTCTTTCATGAAAGAAGGGAACAAATAAGAAGACTTTATTAATTGATCTTCATGAGGAGACAAAGTATTTTACACTGACCTGCACATGTACTGTTCTATTATCATTGTTCATAAACTTCCCTGCCTGCTGACTTTGCTTTATGAGGATGATGCTCTTTTGTTAGAGTACTAAATTAATTTAACCGGTGTCAGAAACCCAAACAAGAAAGCTTCATATCTGTAGTACAGAAGATCTGTTGATATTTTTGGTTTCATTGTGGCAAAGGTCACAGTTTTCCCATTACACAGACTTTGAGGCTGTCCATCCTGCTGCAAAACAGCATACTGGCTTCTTTCTGCAGGCCCACAACTTACTGAGTAATTTACTGCAGAACTAGGACTTGGGGAACTGCAGGAAAATGCTATTTAGAAATGTCAGGGAATATTCAGCATTTTTAATCACTCCTGTATATGCCAAATTATTAGAATTCAAAAACCGTTGAAAAAAAAAAAAAAAGAGTAAAGTTATTATGCTACATAGTGAAAAACAATGTTTTTTCTGAAGCACTTGTGCACATTGTGACTGTCTAAAGGTCAGCGACACTGATCCAATCAAACTCTGGCTTTGCTTAGAATGGCAGAACCCCAATTTGTAACACTGTATAATTAAAATGCCTTTTATTTTTGGTGTTCCTAATATGACTTATAATTCAGAAGGAATCGCATTCAAATTATGAACAGATGATTACACTGAAGTATTAAAATTATGCATGATGTGCATAATTTTATTTCAAACAGTTAAAGGGATAATCCAATATAAAAAGCAGCCCTTTACTTGGGCAGCCCTTGTTGATGAAGTGTTAAAGGCGTTTGCCATTCTAACAGCATAAAAACGAACGTCTCAAAGTGTTACCTACTTGGGACTTTTAGCAAATTTGTTAACACTTTTAGGTATATTACTCCATCTTTCTCTTGGTGTGAACTGGTATCAATTATTTAGCCAAATTTATTATGTTATTAAAATACCTGCTGATTAAACGTGAACTAAAATGTCATTTCTGCACTGCTCCTTATTTGTACTATTTTACATTTTTCCAGATAGGTATAAGAGGTGGACTCAATTACGCTAGCAACTGAGAAATATTCTGCAAATGGAGACAGCTCCTATTGTCTAAATAAATCTTAAATACTGTTCCAGTGTCATGCTAATAGAACAAAAGATGATTTTGAAATATAGCACAGCAGTTCCAACAAAGAAACACGGTTTTACAGGGGCAGCTGAAATAAAAAAGGCAGCGAAGTGAAGTGAAGTGCTGTAGAGCAAATCTTATCTTTATTGTGTCAAACAGCATTGCTGTGTAAAATATATAAGAACCACTACCATCATTCCTTTTTTTTCCTGCAATTGGAACAATTTAAATGTGAACATAGAACACAAAAGCAAACACTGACTGCTGTAGTGTTTATTTCTTCCCTAGTAAGGGAAGAAAGAACCTTTTAATAGTTTAATTTTGTGAGTATTAAACAACTAGTGTGAAAAACAAGCTGCATGTAAACTATTTCTACTGCCTCTGCTTCAATGACTAGCTGAGGCAACCTGTTATAGGAGGTGTTAATTGGCAATAGGAGTACAAGTCAGAAGCATGTTCCCCATCGTCCTAACCCAGCAAGGCTAGGTCATTAAAGTGGAAATGAATTCTTTCATGCC